AAAGTACCTTCTCTTCCACCCAAGCCTTAAACTATAAATGAGTGAACCTAAGATATTTAAAGAGCAATACAAGTTGCTAGCAAAGTATGTATGTATTTGAAACCAGCAGAACAAAACTGTACAAGAGGTTTGTTTAGTCACAGTTGCTAAAAAAATGCAAAAAATATGCCGAATATGAGTGCGCTCTTGAGACTCAATCTGTTCTTTGACCATGCCTGTGACTTAAAAACAGTATTTTGATTCTACATTTCAGAAACTTGCAGTTATAGGGTGCACTAGCTCAAAATTTCAAGGTGGAAGTGAACACAATGGCAGAACAGTCTTTACACGTTCTTTCCAGAGTGTGCATGTGTGTGCAATAATTTGTGTACCCTAGGTCACCTACTTTGTTCAGACCGTGATCATACCGTTGGGTTTTAACACAGGTGACAGAGGGGATGTGAAGGGAAGGGGGGAAACAAATGGAGTAGTATTGGCAAGAGGAGTTTATTTACTAGTTGATTAAAAAAAGTCTGCATTCTTTGTATCCTGTTTGATGCAGTTCATTGCCCAGTAGTAGAGTATTGTCCATAAGCCAGCTGGTCAAGTAGTACCATTTCTTTTGCACTATATTTTCAACCCTGGAAGGCCATCAGCCCAGGTGTCTGGCCTAATTGAGTGCTTCTCCTTCCTGTAAGAAAGAAAAAAAAAGGCAAATCACAACACACAGCTGCCTGCCTTCATAAAAACAAAAGGAATAGTCTCAGTGCTAAAGGGAATTTATTTACTACTCATGGGAAACCTTTACAAAGTCATGTAGTCAGTCATCTGCATACACGCCAGGAAATAAAGTGGCATTGCACAGCACGAAGTTCTCTTGTGTTGCAAATATGAAGTGCACGGAAGACTGGTGTCTTGGGGTACATTCAAGACCCTCCTAAAGGTGATGTTGATGTTGACAGGTGCAGCTTGGTGTGGTAGGCCTGGCACCTCCCCAACTTCAAGATCTGTACCGTTGGCTTGAAGTGGACTTCCAGCCTCTCAAGTTGTCCGGGCGTGTCATGCAGTGCTTTGACTTCATTAACAAGTGGGAAGAATGCTCTGAATTGCGCATGTATGTGACTGCTCTGCAAGACATCACTATCATGCGACTGCTGAAAGAGGTGCGTTTTCATTGTTGGTACATGTTTGTTGTCTGTGGTGTTCACTTTTGCTGTCTTTCACTGCAGGTGTCGCAGGTGTATCAAACCATTGAAATCAAGCGCTTGCTTGAGCTGGCCCCTTTTGCCAATGCCTTTTACTTGGAGAACATGGTAGTGGATGCCGTGCAAAGAAATGACTTGCAAGTCCGCATTGACCACAAACGTCGATGCCTGCATTTCAGCTCCGAGCTTAGTGTCTCTCAGCAAGAGGAAGTGGTGGAAGGGCCACATTTGCAGGGTATGCCAAGTGAACAGATTCGTTGTCAGCTTGTCAAGTTGTACTCTGTCCTGCAGAGATCAGTTCATCTCATCAGACCGAAGAGATCAAGGCAAGTGTTTGCGTGTGATAGGCTTTGTCTAGCAGGTTTAATTTTCCATTTTGTGCATTCCCCACTATCTAGGACTCTACGAAAGAACTCAAGATGAATATCATAGATGCATACCGCCTGTTCTGCAAGAAAGAGCACAAGAAGATCCTTGAGCGCCAGCAAATAATCGAGGCTCGCAAAGAGATGCTGGAGAACCTCACTTTCCAGCGGGTGAGTGACAATGTTTTGTACTCTTGATTGTTTCAGTTGAAATGTTTACAAAGCCGAAAATGCACACTCTTCACTTTGCAGGAGGAAGAAGAGCGCAGACAAATGGAGGAGAGACAGCAGAAAATGCGCGAGGCAGAAGAAGAGCACATAGTGCACGAGGCAGAGGAGCGTGCCAAACAGCGCAGCCAGCGAGAACAGAATGAGATGAAGAAAAAAGTGGTGCTGGAATAGATTGAGCTTTTGCGCAAGACTGATATAGGGGCACACATATTTGAGGGATTAGAGGAAGAAGAGCTTGAGCGGCTTGATCCTGAGGAGATACTAAATCGACAGGTAGAGCAGCTGGACCGTGAGCGTAAGAAAATGCAAACAAAGTTGAAAAAGCAAGAGCGAAAGGTGGACTACATGGAACGCGCTAAACGTCTGGAAGAGATCCCTCTGTTGCAGGAGGCCTATGAGCGCTTCAAGCTTGAAGACCAGAAGTTCTGGCTGCAAAAAGAGGAGGAACGCATTCGTTTGTTAGTTCAAGAGCGAGAGGTTGCACTCCAACACAAGATGAGGCTGTCGCACATGCACGATGACAAAGAGGAGTTCCTAAGCAAGCTGACGTAGGACCGCTAGTCCGTCTACAAAGATAAGCGCCAGCAGTTCGAGCAGCGGCTTGAAGAGGAGCGCCGCAAGAGGCTAGCAGCTCGCAAAGCTGAACGCAAAGAAGAGCGATGCGAAAAATTTTTGCGCGAGCGCGAAGAGGCAAGACGGCGAGCCGCCCTGGAGGAGCAGAAGCGCATCGAGGCTGAACGACTGAGTAAGCTGCGGCAGATGGAGGCCATTAAGGCAGCGCGCGAGCGGGAGATTGAAGAAAAGCAGCGGAGAATGGAAGAAGAAGAGCACCAGCGCCAGGAGGCCGAGAAGATACGGTAGCCAACTAGCCGCACCGAGGAGACCAGCTGGCGCAAAAGGTAAAATGTTTTGCCTTCTGTTCAGACTTGCCTAATGTGGCATTATTTTCATAGATGACTTTTTTTTCTCTCTCTTTACTTTTCAGACGAGGAGCCAGAGCGCAAAATTGAGTCGTGGAGAAGTAAGTAGCCTGAATGCTAGCATAGAGCTGTAAAAACTCACAAACTGTACACACGTTCATCTTCTCGGGCCGTACTCGTGACAACCGTGAGAGCGAAAAAGAGTCCTTTGGAAGAAGAGATCATGACAATGAGAAGGATCGCGACAACGAAGACAACTGGCACCGAAAGAGAGACATTGATGACGGTGAGGCTACCAGAATGTATTATGTCTATGTTTAATAAAATACTCTGAAAACATGGGTGACCACATCTTTTGCAGTTTATTGTAGTTTAATTTTATTATTCAATTATATGCAGAGCCACCCAGATCAAGAGCGCCAGAGTCGAGCTGGCGCAAAGCTGAGCCAGATGCTGACAGAAGTAGTTCGTGGCGTCCTGGTGGAACGTCGTGGCGTTCAGGGGACAATCGGGTGCGAGATGGTGGTCGTTGGGACTTCGGGGAGTAGCGTCGTCCACCACCACCTCAAGATTTCGAAAAAGAGGATCGTGGTCGTCCTCCACGGGATTTCGACAGAGAAGATCGTGGCCGCCAAGAGTTTGGTCGAGACTTTGGGGATGACCGCCGTCGTAGGGACTTTGGACGAGCCCGAGAGTTTGGAGATGATCGCCCTGCCAGGTCTGGGGAAAGTGAGAACTGGCGTTCTGGGCTCAAGGAATCCAGAGGTGGTGGGTCTGGCTGGCAGTCAGATGATAAACGTCCATCACCACGAAAAGGTGAGGCAGCACAACGCACTACAAGGAACTCTTAGCACTAAATCTGTATTGCTGCCTCAAGCCTTCATTTCTTCCAGCAGTGAATTGCTGGAAGTTAGACGTGCTGTTACAAGCTTTTTCACAATAAGTGTTTTCTTGAAGTGGTGATGTTGCCCCACAGCAAATGTCCCAGTGTGTAGTGCTGTGTATGCAAGAAAAACTTTTGCATTTGCTAGCTTTTTTATCTGAAAACTATGAAGGCTTGCACCCATGCACATACAAGAGAAGAGACAAATTCAAGAGTTCTTACTACCACTCCTCTACTGTCGACATATACTATAAGGTGGCAGATCAAGTTGCATTTGAAATAAAAATACCAGTCAATTTCGTGCATTTTCCTTCTTTTTTCTTGATTACCAATAAAACATTTATCCTTATTTTAACAACAGTCTGAACCGTTTTCCTTGAACATTTTTGCCTACCAATAATAGTAGGTGGACTAGAGCCGCAAGAAAATGTGCCCCCTGGTACTGGAGTGTGCACTCAACACATGCTCTTTCCTGTATTATATGACCTAGCACTGCAGGGAATTTTTTATAGACATGAGGGCTAACCACTACACAACATGCATAGGCCTAAATTCTGTTTTCCACCTCTGCACAGATCACATTATTGGCCCCTGGAGAGACAAAGAAAGCAGGCCAAACAAGCCAGATGCCAGTGAGGATGGCTGGAAGACAGTCCACTAAATCCAGTGCACAGATCCTTACTGGCCCCTGGAGAGGCCAAGCTATACTGGTGCCGGAAGAGGCAAGGAAGCAGCAGGCCAGGCTCAACAAGCCAGATGACGATAGAAAGTAGTCCACTACATCCAGTGGTCCTGCCATTGCTATTCAAAAACTAGCTTGCCTACTGAAGCTGGCAACTTTTCAAAGTAGAAAGGCAGAAGAATACGGCATTCTTCTTTATGTAACTACATGCACCCAAGAACCACTGCAAGAGGTTTGCTGTAATTTTTTTTTCAGCATTTATTCTAAACAATCAATAAACTGGTACACAATACTTGAAGTAATGTGAAATTTCCATGAAGCAACCATTTAAAAAGTTGTAGAGGCCTTGAAATTTGAACCTCCAATTGAATATATGGTTTCAGTAAAAAAAAAAAAGTGGGATGTAGACTTATTCTGTGCCTACTGTACCATTGTACAGTAGGCACAGAATAAGTCTAAAACGTTAGAATAAGAAGAAAACACGTTAACATTATTGGAAGAACCTTTTACAAATGATTGGTTGATTGGTGGGATCTAACGCCCCAAAACCACCATGTGATTATGAGAGACGCCGTAGTGGAGGGCTCCGGAAATTTTGACCACCTGGGGTTCTTTAACGTGCACCCAAATCTGAGTACACTGGCCTACAACATTTCCGCCTCCATTGGAAATGCAGCTGCCACAGCCAGGATTTGATCCCACGACCTGCAGGTTAGCAGCAGAGTACCTTAGCCACTAGACCACCGTGGCGGGGCCCTTTTACAAATGAAATGAACATGTACTGGGAGCACAGTCAATGTGAAGTGCTACTCTAGCATGCATGCGACGTTTTTTTTCCCACTTGCTCTTCAGCAGGCAATCTTAATTTCTTCCTCCTTTTCTTCCCCTGAAAAGTAGAAGTGTGTGCACTGATCGAACTGACCATCCAAGATTTATGCAGCCATGTGGTATAAAAGCCCAAACAATTTACGGTTTTATAACATCCATGCATTGTGCACATTTTAAAGGGAGGCTCAACTGTACAGCCGCAGTCACGTCTGTGTAGAGCACGCGAGCAGCCGGTGCTTGCTCTGCGTGGCTAAACCTTGGGGCAGTATCGGGCTCCGAGGTTTTCAGCCTGACAACTAGGCCACTCATGCTTTTGATACACCACTTCAGAGCCTGAAACTGCCTCAAGGTTTCACCCCGCAGAGCGAAAACCGGCTGTCCGTGCGCTCTACACAGACGTGGTCAGGGCTGTACAGATGTACTTGAATTTGTTCTAAGCACGTAGCAGCAGGTGCAGTACTTTACTCTAAATGGCATAACTTCATAACCGCGAAGCCCAAGGGAACTTTGCTGATTATTTGGACCTTCCCTCTAAAGTGGTCACAAAACAGTCATGACAGCCAAGCTACTTCAAGAAAGCAAGCACATAGCATGAAACATCTGCATGGAAAATACATACAAGGACTTTAAACAGCCTGCAAACAATGCTGCAAACAATGCAGCATTGTTTGCAGACAGCCTGCAAACAATGTGCCATCTGTCGAAAGTCATGCACATGTCTTGCAGCAAGCTTTTGCAAAAAAACAGATTAGTCATGCACCTACACACTATGACATCTGTAAATGCACATATTGCAAGACGGAGGAGGTAACATGCTTGCTATATATACAACACAAACATTAAAAAAAGGAGGACGGGGCACCAATCCTTCAGGCTCAATAATAGCTACAGAACACATTCACACAGTTGTATGTAAAAGCTATAAACAATACAGAAACTGTACATAATCGATTCATACAACATCCACTTGTTCACCAACAATAGGAGGTAGAGGTAATCAACATTGATTCTCATTAGTTAGGCAGTAGTTGCATTACTGAGGCAATTATTTTCAGTGGTGTAAAATACTGCATCGAAAAAGCCAGCCTTTCAAAAAAAAAAGTAAACATGTTGGCCAAAAGAGACGAAACTGTACAATGTCTTTAGTACCATGCTTGTGACAGCTGTAATAACCTAGTAAGCATGAATAGAAGTTGACCTTGGCCCTTCAGTACGATTTGACTTAGCTCCCCTCCACCTAGATTTCTAAACCTAGGTACAGCAAAAAAAAGCTGACGAGAACTACAAGTAGCACAGGACAAATAAAGCTTTGGTCAGACGTGCCATGACTATCAGATTTACAGTGGTACCTCAAGTAGCCTCAGCGTAGAATAAAAAAGTCATAAGGCACTTGCTCTAATATCACTAATACTCCACATACAGAAAATGTTAGGCTACTGACAAAATTTAATCATATTGTAAAAAAAAAGATTATGTACGCAGGAATAGTGACCCAGTTACCTTATTCTACAATTGAGCAGGAATTTTTTTTTTAGTGCAGTAGTATCTCATTGCTGACATCCTATTTGTATGCACCAACTTAATTACAGTTGGGTTGCAAAACAGATAACATGCAATGTATACCAAAGAAAAAAAAAACCTTATACTCCACACGGGCATAGAGTATTACGTTGCATAAAAGCTGTGTTTCTGCAGCTATAGTCTGACTTTTGTGGAGATCAGCCAATGTTTTTATATTGACAATGACACACATAGCACTGCATTATAGGAAAGTTCTTTCACTACCAGATAATACACACCACTAAAATGTTGGCCTTTCTGGAGCATGAAGTCATTTTGTACGTGTGCGCTGTACGTATGTGTTCAAAAAGAGTATTATACAATGGAAAAGGCAGCGGATTTCATGATACAATGCAACACATTAGTCTGAATTGTATACTTCAGAACTTCCATTTTGGAATGTGCAAACATTCCAACATGAAAGCTACCCTCACTGTTAGTTACTCCTGTGCTATGAAGGTTTTGAAGAGTAATGTTTTGTACAGAGGTCTCCCTTGTGTCTGCAGAACATACACAGCAGCTCAGCAATGAGTCCTAACTTTGCCATTTTCGATAATGAAGCAGTAACAAGGCTTAGGTTCAGACAACATGAATAGAAACAACAGTGTGGTATTACTGATCACATCACTAAACATATAAGCCACCACTTTTTATATACATGCATGGTGAAATATTTCATTTTGGATTCTAGCATCCCAATAAATAGATGCCTGCAGTTAATAGCTGAATTTCAACATGCTGCATTATAGTCTCTTCATTAAGAAGCCAGTATTGCAGGCTACTGATAGTAGGACCAGTAGAACAATAAACATTTTCCGTTAGCTTCTCAATTTATCTCATTCAATCTATCAATGGTGCTCGAAATTTCTCGCATAAAAAAAATTGTTTCAGCACAGCACATTTCTTTCAGAACTTCCAGTGTCATCAAAAAGTCGAGTTTCAATCAGCACTGTCACTTTAAGAACACGGCAATGTTAACGCCACTAATATTGTGTATGTGCTGTGGAATTTCGCCAACGCAGTAGGTGCCACAGCGACCCCTATATTGCTAGTAATGACTGATGTCATGTAATGCAATGTGCACTGCTCATGTGTTGGCACTGATCAGATACACTAAAACTGTATAAGTTACTACTACTACATAGATGCACTTCACCTGCCATAAAGAACTAATTTTTTCTTTGCTCACAGCCGCACAAGTTTGTGCACTTGACTTTGTCTTATTAAACGCCAATGAAAGTTCTCTATGCACGGCCCCAAATGCAGGATTACAAACACTTCAAGCATGACACAAAGTAAGCTATGGGAGAGTCATATGCTTTTACATGCAGGTTCATGCAGAGCAGAAACAATGCAACATGACACCAAGAAAGGTGCTGTCACTGTAGCAATAGGGAGTGACAAAATAATGCATACTTTTGTGAGATTGCTCCTTTGTTAATGATCTTGAATTGTAGTGGCAGCCAAGAAAGACACTACCCTTACATCTGCTCCCTTGTACAGCCGACAAATGGTGCCTTATGAGCACCAGTGCTCTTTGCACATCCTGCTCAAGCTATGTTCTCTTAATCCTAAAATGGTGTTATATAAAATGCTCATCAATGTTCTAAGGTTTATGCTCAAAGGATGTGCATTGAGCGCCTGCAAATAATACTGAAGCTGTTGGGTATTATAAATATGATCTCTGGCACGGCGTTTTCAACGGGGGTAAGTTATTCACAGTTCGCTGCAGTGAGAGCCATGATACCTCCTATGCAGAGTGCAGTGTATAGGGGGCAATATAGTGTAAATTAGCTGTCGCATCTTAAAACAATAAAAATAACTTCATGTTTCATAGTCACAAAAACGGCACAAAGTGACTGCAATGTGGAACTGTTCTCTGTATGTCACAACAATTACGCACTCCCTCCACTTTGCACAATTCAACTTGCATTGTAAGCCACACTAATCCAGAGCTCTACATGAACAACTGACCTCTTATGTACCATCAGGGATAAATTAAGCATGAATGCGACATGTTTCTAAAGGCCAACTCCAGCGATTTTTTTACCATGCCAGGATAATGGTGCTTTTAAGTTCTTGAGACACTTTTGTCACGCACCCAATACCTGAAATTCTTGACAAATTTGTAAAGAATTTGCAATCAGCAGAAAACTGCAATACCGAAACTCAACTAAGTGCTCTTCGACGTGACATAGGTGTTTGCCCGAACCTGCCTGATTGCACACAATGCCCGCCAGAGGACACTACTTGTCCACGCCGGCAATCGGCTAATGCAATTACGCTGTTATAGTATGCGGCCAGCAACGCAACACCACTCCCTATCGCACCACCTATCGCAGGCTCACCAACACGGAAAAAGAAAATGGCACGTTCAACCAAGGAAGTGCCGGCAAAACCCACAAAAATCTATAGCAGACAAGCAGATGCTGCAGTGGCACATTACTTCCGCCAGGCAAAACTCAGCCTCACACTAGTCACACACACAATGTAGCCATTAATTCTGGCAAGCGAGATGAGCGTTTGGAGGCAAGCTATAAAATTCATTTGAAAAGGATCTGCGAAACTCTCAAGCCTGCAATTTGACATGAATGGCCCAAATGTGCAAATAATTGTACCCAGTGAATTTCATTGAGGTTCATTTGATCTCAAAAAATCATCGGAATTGGCCTTTAAACAGACACTTCAGAAATTTAATTATATTTTTACTCCCACAGCTACATTTGAGTAAGACATTGCCGTATAAGGGCTCTGCAATAGTTTTAAGACTTTACAGTGATTCAATCGCCATACAGACCTTAATTACTTTAGCACTGATCTTAGTTTAGGATTCAGGCATGAATTATTTTGTTTCAATGATGGCACATGATCATGTGCCCCAGCCACACCGATTCCACAAAACAAAAACGCAACAAGCACAACATAACGCAGCTGAATGTCAAAGCCACAATCAACTGCACCAATCAACCAGTGAAGCAGGTCTTCAGGCAGAAAAAGGCTTATAGAGTGACATTTTCAGCAGTCAGCATGAACAACAACCTTCCAAGAATGCTAAAAAGCAGTGCAAATATGCACAATCACAAAATTGGGAGAAAGTTACAATAAACACATGAAGCAAATGGATGACAACTGCATCAGCAGGACATTATACAATCCTTGAAATAAGACTACTGCACCATTAAAAATACGCTGTCTTTCACTGCAGTCCTCTGTAGAAATGTGCAAGTAGCAGTGTTGAAACATTATTCCAGCGGTGGAACCGCTTTGGCCATGAGTACCCTTGCTGCAGGCTGCCAGAGTGGAGCTGTGTAGCACTTAATAGAGAGGACTATTATTTATTTATGATACATAACGTACCGGTATTCCCACAGCGCCTACTTCCAGCACGAGAGAAGATTCAATAAGCCGGTTTTCACCATTGAAAATCAAAAGTTACCTAGACACACTAAAAGGGGTGATGATCTTTACCAACACTTACTTTTAACAATAACAAGTTGGTGGCTAAAAATAAATCAGCAGCCAACAGATTCTACCAAACTCTAAAAGCACTAAAGGTCATTGATTAATTACATAAATTCCCAAGTGCTCCACCTGTTGGCATGTGATAAAAGAAGCCCTATGCTGACCTGGCTACTTGGTAAGTCTCATGTACTGCCATTGGTGCTCACATGGCTAACAAAAGCGTGGTACTAATTATTAAATCACTATCATGGGTGATTTTGCATATATTTGTGTGTTAATATAAACAACATTAATAAAAGGAATAATGAAGCTCTATTACGATCCTTTTGCTTCATTATAAGAATGTACCCCCGCCCTCCCTCCTTCATTCAGCAGCTCTCTGAACTGCGCTCCGAGTTAAACTTGGTTGTTTCTACTTGTTTCCACTACCTTCCTTTTCCCCTTTACGCAATTTGAATCTGCAGCGAATGTCACCAATTCAACATGACTTAAAATTTGCTATGAGAAAGAGAGAGGCACCAGAGGCTGTATCAGTCACTTTTGGTGATATTAACTTCACTAGCAGGCAACTTATCAAGCCAGTAAAAAAATGTCATTAGCCACATGAGAGATTTAACTAAAGGCCAGCTCACACTAAAGTGAAAGGAGAATACAGTCCAAGGAATGGCCACATCACATTTTTAAGCAAAGTGTATATGGGTGTGCTTTCATGGCAAATACTATATCATGTCAGGACAAGTCTTGACTCCTCTAAGCTTGTTTCGATTGGCTAGAAGCTGTTGTAATGACCAGCTTCTAGAAATTGCAATCAAATGCTTTGCATCTGAACCACCCACAACACTGAAGCTTCCAGCACCTGGGAAAAATATGGATTAGGCAAATTGCACAGGTGTGAAATAGTTGGGATATCCTACATGCCTCATAACTCAATTGTCTCTCCAGGACACAATAATGGTTCACCATTAATGAATGAGATGCAATTGCTCAATTCAGAACTGAGGAGCGGCCATGTGATGAGTGTGCAGTGCCCGTCAGCAGTGCCACATCTGATGGCCCGCTCACCTTGTCATCCAAGCTATATTCCACTTTCCTTTCTCGTCCGTCACGGCCACGCAGGATTTTGGTCTCTGTGGTTTGCACCATCAACTGGGTTGCGAGAAAGTCCTGACAGCAAAAGACATAAGACATGAGGCAGCACTCTGCTTGTTTACCACTAAGAAACAAATTCTAAGGTCTTACAAGAATCCAAGTGATTTTCAAAAAGTGCTGAGAAACCACTTTGTTTTTGTGCTTTCATATTAGCCCTCAGAATAAGGGTAGCGCTGCGATGACGTCACGGCTCAAACTCTTTCGACAGCCATCATGGCTCGCCCAAACAACGTGCTCGCTTTTTATGCTGTTTTGAGTTCTTGGGTTCACATCTTCTTTGTCTCAGATTTTAAATGACAAATAAAGCAGCAATGCTGTTTCAGGTGCAAAAAATCTATTTGTGTATGCTATCACCAAACGTGCCCTCGCTCCACCAAGCATATTTCAAAAGTGGTGATCAGGTTGTATTGTTCTTGGGAGATTCTTTTAGGAGTATGATGGTTTCTTTGCGAGAAGTTTTATTTTGTACCGGCCGCATCTGAACATCTCTGGACATCCTTTCTAGCAGTCTGTCAGACCTGTACTCCAGTTTAGATAACCGACTTGTAAATAAATTTCGCTTGTAGTTCATTACCTCCGAGCAATATGCAAGGCCCAGGAATTTTTTTCAGGGGGTGTTTTTGGATAGAATGGCTAACTTTGGCAACTGATGGTCGATGTGAAGGTGTGTAAATACTTTAGTAAAACACGAAAAATTGAAGCATTAAAAAAAAATTTGGGGGGGGGGGGGGGAGACTTTTCTCAAACCCAATCTAGCTACGGCCTTGGCAGCATGAACTGACAGGTGGAAAAAGCATGAGAGACGAGTTTGTACCTCACTGAGGCAAATAAAGTTTTTTGTGCGAGCTATGTTGTCAAGTGCACCACGGCAACAGTTGTGAATGCTCAACTTACTAGTGTCTGTTCAGCAAAGAAATCCTACTAGTGATTCAAATCAAGTTTTGATTACAGTTTGTTATGTGACTATCAATTAAACCAGCTGTTCATGCAAGGTACGGTATGCCTGCATAATTCCCGACTATTGAGAAGAAACCTGTACTAGCTGCGAATACTACTATTTTTACAAAAGTTCTATGTAACTAGTATTATAACTTTGTTGAATTTTTTAGATATGCTGCTAAACAAAAAATGGAGAAATCTTAAGAGTTCACAATTACTACAAGTAACATTTGCTATGCTTTGCTTGGATTTTTTTGTCTCTTAGTTCTAATTAAATATGCTAAGATTTTTTTTTTTTGCTAGAGAAATAATCTACAGTCTCTTGTAGCAGAGAACACAATTTTGGCGAATTACCTATTTTATTTGCAGATGTGCATGGAACTTGCATGATAAACTGCAAAGTAGTTGACAAATTAGTCAATTAGAAATTATGTACAGTAAAAGCTTGTTAAGTTAGATTTACAGGGTCCAGAAATAGTATTTTAATTAAATGAATACTGAATTATCAAAAGTGTAGGAGAACCATAAACTAATGCCTGCTACATGAACAAACTTTCATTTTGTTGACAAATATGTAAATGTTATACTTACTTTGTATAAGAGCAGTGCAAAAGCTACAATTTTTGTCTTGCCACTTTGTTTACAATGCGACCATGGGGTTGCCAGAGACTCCAAATTTAATTACCTCACAACATGCTCTGCACCACTCCCTTAATACAAAGAATTACCACCACCACATGCATGTGATCTTAGTTCATTAACAAGTAAAATTACCGGCAACCAATTGTTTATCCATTACAACATAGCAAAGAATCTTTAATGGCAGCATGCCGGCTACAGTTGAAAGCTCATCTGCAATAGCTTGCGACATGTTTGACTTTTGTGATACTACTACACGCACATAGTATCAAGCTGAGGAGTGCCAGATCTGCATGCAGAAAAAACTGCAGGACTAATTGATAAAGATGGCAATGTGGACAGTGCCACCTCGCTACGGTGGTCTGCGAAAGCTGTTTCTACTTTTTTGCATCGCACATTTGCAATGCTTCGCACTTGCCGTAATCCAAAGGATTGTTAGAATTAACCGAGCTGCGGCCAAATATACTAACCAAATTGACAGGAGTTTGATGCTACTAAATGATCAGCCAGTTGCTGGCCGAGACCAGGGAATGCGACAGAATTACCAATTTTCTGATTTAACGAGAGTAAATTTAATGCACATTTACCGTAATTTTATTTGTAATACTGAGAGACAAATGCATCAACTGCAGAGTCTGAGGCAAGCCGTTATAAAGTGGGAACAATTTAGCAGAAATGTTTTCTTAGCAATGGTTACTTGAAACATGTGGTGGAAACAATGTTTTGCAGCCCTGCATGATCATTTCACAATGAAGCTTTCGTTCACACAGCAGTTTGCTCACTAGTAAGCCTTCTTGTCCAAACTTTCTACAGCTTAGTTAACTTTAGGTAGTAATAAACAATTTCACCTTCTACCATGTGAGATTTACACCAAAGAGCAAGCACCACTGAATTGCAAAAAAGCGGGGACACGGCCACTGCAAAAAAAGGCAATCATCCATGGCAAAGCACACGTGTCCTTGCCATGACGTCACATCGCTGCGACTGCATCAACATTAGTGTTCATTCTCGGGGCTAATAAACACAAAAGAGAGAGAAAAAAAAAGTGACCAAAGAAGAAACAAAGAAACAATTAACAAAGAAATACTGATGAATGGCCTCTAGAAAACAAGTATTCTCAATTAGAAAAAACGGCTGCAACCATTTCATTACGCAAGAAGCAAACAGTACTCCTATCATCATTGAGAGTTGGGTCACTGAGAGCATATATGATATATCTGAAATGGTGGTTTTTGGTGACAGTAAGCACATTGTATGAAAAAAAAAAGAGTAAAAATGTAGCTATTTATGATTCCTTACTTAGCACTGCACATCTGCTTGCCATCACTAGTAAATAACGCTGTTGAAGCAATGAAAAAGGGGAAAAAAAATGAGAGGCACACACATTGACTTGACACTAACAAAATAATAAATATTCAAACTGATGGTCTTCAAAGAACTCTGTCAGGGAACCCCTTCCCCTAAGGGCCTATTCACACTGGGCAACAAGTGGCCACGCTATCCGCAACCACGCAAAAACGTGGCGTCAATAACTCTGTTATAATAAGCAGCTCGCAATTGTTGAAAAGTACACTGCAGATAAATTTTTGGCCAACCGATAAACTTGTTAGAAACATGCGAGCATTACTAAAGCAAAAGCTGTCTATTTTTGCTGTCTAATATCAATCCCTGTCTTTTTTCCAGATTCTTTAATACTTGCCAAGCAACAATGGCTACAATAAGCTTTCTCTGTGATCTTACTCGTGCCACCAGTTTTCTGCAACAAAATATCTCTTTAGCTAGGGCTTCATCCCAAATTTGAGCATGCCTATGCTTGGTTGCTTTTGCCAGTGGGACATGCAGCCGTGAATATACAAAAAAGGTGCTCTCATTATTGAAGACTGTCAGTAATGCCTTAGAGCTATTATGACAGGTAATGATTTGATTTGATTTGTGGGGTTTAACGTCCCAAAACCACCATATGATTATGAGAGACGCCGTAGTGGAGGGCTCCGGAAATTTTGACCACCTGGGGTTCTTTAACGTGCACCCAAATCTGAGCACACGGGCCTCGACATTTCCGCCTCCATCGGAAATGCAGCCGCCGCAGCCGGGATATATTATGACAGGTAGTCTTCACGATTTGTAGCATGCAGTGAACCAAAACAATGACAGGAGAAAATGCATACAAGCAGGCTTATTTTGCTGCCATGTTCACCCTGCATTGAAAAACCTCCAAGAGCATGAGCAAACACACAAATCTCCACCATTTGGTAAAGTTACGACTGTGACTATGGCACTCATGTGATGCATTCAAAACAGCAGGGACTGCATGGTGCATTCTTTAATGTGCCTCTTGTCTGTATCACACAAGTGCTATGGTTATAACAGAATCAAATAAGCTAGCCCAACAGTCTGTACTCTGGCAGAGATAGTTTTGTCGTGAGAGGTTCCCTTGACAGCAACACACTGCACGACAAAAGCAAAGACAACACCATGTCATGTATAGCGGAATCCTCCCTGGTAGCCGAAGCTTCTGTAGAGTAGCAACATGACAAGCTGTGTGGTCCTTTGCTGAAGCGTGCAGTTTGTAATTACAATAAAAAAAGAAATGTTGTGCACCCTTGGGGGCGTACAGAGCTCAGGCGTTTCACAAGGAAAATAAATGGGGATGAAGCCAGATAAAGCTTCATAGCATGCGCTGCGTCATGAGCATGTCGAAACAGAAATAATAATAATAATAATAATAATAATAATAATAATAATAATAATAATAATAATAATAATATAGTTATAATAATAATAAAAAATAAAACTTAAAAAAAAACACGGGCACAAAAATGCGGCTACACATGCTGCGCAACACTTTGCGCTTTCCTTTTGTTGCTGAAAGTTGTCACACCAAAACAGCACGTTGCTGTTGGCAACAGAGATGTTGACCAACGTGTTGACCAACACGTCGGGAAACATGTTGGTCAGCTGTTGGGAAACATGTTCCGCTGTGTGAATAGGCCATAAGACGCAGCACATCTTATGCAACATATGCATCTTGTTGAGAGTCCTCAATTATGTGCTGCAAAAATTAGTACTAAATAGTGGGGCATGTGAAACTCCGGAAGATAAACACGGTAGCGTTGGAACAGTGCCAGTGCTTCATGCTTGGTCTTACATAAGGGCTACAGGAATAGGAAACTGCAGTAGTAGCATGCCAAGGTTCAATCTGCAGCACAAGAGTACACAATCTGCCAGGCCACTAGGGTGCTTAGTTTGCAATATCATTGTTTCGCAACTATTAAAGGCATTGCAATAAATGTCACCATTAAAGCAAAGCAAAACCTCGATAACTCAAACTCAGTTCATTCAAAATCTTATATAATTAGAGGCATTACTGTGGTCTCTTATATCCTAATGTACTTTGCCTAGATAATTCAAAGTGATAGCCTGCATCTACTCTAAGAATAGGATGATTATGAGTGGCATGCGGCAATACTGGGTGCAAACTTCACCACAGACCTGGTGAAACAGTGGCCCTATGGAGCAGCGAGTTAGTGCCACATAACGATGCTAATGATAGATACTGTGAAGCGCCCCAGCCCCATTGCTGTCACTACAAGAACCATTGCATGCATGATACACTAGATTGCCCAAAGTATGCACCTAAGAGGTGCTTCACTGCAATACAGTGGTTGTATGTCACAAGCAGGCAGCAAGTCCTTTACCCCAACTTACTTACATGCACATTGCACCATCAGCATACCCTGAGAAGAGACCATTCTTCCTGTACACATGCAGTGTGAATGTGCGTGATGCTGACCTGCACATTTTTTGTCGCATAGTGTCCCAAGGATTAATATTTATGTGTTTCAAGGGAGGTCGTTTTATGAAGGTACTTTTGTTCAGAGTGTGAATGTTAGT